GCACACAGCAGGAAACAATGGCTGGCTCATAGTTAAACTGGCTCTTTGATTCTTAGCTGCCTGCCTCCATTTTATTCCACTTTGTGCAAGAAAAAAAAAAAGAGAAAAAAGCAGACAAATCAGTGCAAAGGCCTCACCCAAACCTGCGCATGACTCACTGATCTTACAAAACAGGAGCTGCACACCTGAAGAAGACCAGGAGGGGACAGCGGGCCGAGTCCTCCTCACGCTGACGACGAGGCAGGCGGGGCCATAGGCAGAGATACAAGTGCACTGTAACTCATAGATAGCACACCCGATATTTTATTCATGGGGAGAAAATCTCAAGCAGCAAGAGTGACTCACAGAGCCACAGGGACGCACAAACTCAGCGCGAGAAGGGGGTTGACAGGGTTTAACCCACCTACGTCGGCCGCCTTGTCTTTGTCAGGCAGGAAATACATTAAAAAATAACGTCTGAAATGGCTCCTTTCTTGAAAGCGGGATTAAAGGGGACGTGTTTGTGCGCCGAAACTCGCCACTGTGCGGTTACTTCCAGTGTTATCACAGGAAGAGAGCTGCTCACAGCACAATAAAGCCAGGCGTTTGCACTTGGGGCTATGCATTCCTGAGCACTCTGGCATACGAACCGACAAAAGGAATCCTCGTGCATCTGCGCCTGAGCCGGGCTGCCGTCGAAAACACACACACACGCAAACACACACAGGCAGGCTCAGGTGCGCCGGCGTTTCACCTTGGCAGAAGCGCGCACGAGGAGGATTGTCGCGGCCGTGCAGATTGGCCTACATATGGCAGGAGGCCTGATGCAACTTAAGCGATGTGCAGTCATGGGTGTGTCGATTTGAACCCACTCACTCCGTGCCAAGTCCCCGCCGCTCCAGGATCTCGCACCGAGAAGAACTGACTAAATATGTGATGAGCCGAGCTGCAGGAGGATTCGGGGCGCACAAACACACACCCACGCAGACACACAACCGCGCGGTTATAGTTGCTAAATAAAAAAATAAATAAATAAGAGGAGAGGCAACTCGGCTCGCTCGGGATAATTAGAGCGCACGCAGAGCCTGGGAGACAAAGCCCGGCATCGTGAGAACAAGGCTCGCCTGATGAGGCCTCTCTATTTAAATCCTCGGGATGAGCTGAGAGTGTGTCTGTCGATGGAATCGCTCCAGGAGACATGCACGAGCTTGGAGGAAGAAACAGCCAAGGCGGTGAAAGGAAAGACGGCGGAGACAGACGGAGGCAGAAAAACTGTAGACGAGTGGCAGGAAGGTATCTTTGAGGAAATGAAAGGACAGAGATTAAAGGCTTAGATTCAATCAGACAACCCTTCCTACTGTTAGTCATAGAGCACAGATCAGACTTCAGTGTTGAGCGAACACCGCCGATATTACACACAGGTGACTCACTGTGTTCTGTGCCACTTTGAAGTTAGTTTGCCTCTGCAGGGGAGTGGAAATGAGTGAGTGGGCGAGTGTGTGTAGGGGCAGGGCTCTGGGATTAGTAGCTCTCCCTTTGCAGATCTATAAGCACCCAGTATTTCTTGTCGCTAAGAGGATTCACAGGATATGGGGCTGTCCCAACAATTGAAAGCAAAAGGTTTTAGGCGCTAATCTACGAATTCAAGGGCGAGCGAGGCCGATTCTCTGCTGATGGCGCACATGCCTTCAGCCGCCTTCAACTTGACTGACACGGCAGAACGTGGAGGTCAAGAAGGCGATCTGTGCAGCTTAGGGGAGTGAAAAGAAACAGCCTTCAGGAGGCTTAGACTGCCACCCACAACGACGTGTTCACAGATCTTTATCAAATGCAAGAGCTGCTGATTGTTGGTTTGTTTTTCTTTTTCTTTTTTTTTGTTCTCTCTCTCTCCCCCTCGGCGTTTCCAACAGCTCGGTATCTCGATCACCTCCGTATGGTAACGACGTCCTGGGTTCTCTATTCAGGTTCACACAAAAGGCCCTCATGGAGAATCACTGAGCCCTGCTAACGGACCGTTCCCCGACAATCACAAGCGAGCGGGGGAAGCCATTCACATGCAATTGTTCACTATCAGCCCAAATCCAGAACAAACACACACACACATGAAAGCACACAGGAGCTCACTTTAATATCAATGCTCGCCTACAAGCACGCACGCACACTGTGAAACGATAAGAGGAAATCTGCTGCTGCAAGAGGACTGCAACCACAGAGCAATAAGCACAGCGCTACAGCCATTTTTCTTCTTCTTCTTTTTTTTTTTTGTGGGTTACGCTGAACCGATCTGCTCCCGGCGCACGAGCATCCAATGCTGCACTTCCCTTGATTGGATCGTGCCTGGACATTCCTCTGACGAGCACATGTTTGCAAACAGACTCCACGAAGCCAAAGTCGCTCCAGCAGCACGAGTTAAGGCTGCGCAAGCTCGGTCATGCCTTGAATTTAGACACATGCTGGTGTGTTCGATGCTACGGGCCAACTGGAAGGAAAACACCAACATTTTTTGCGGATTTTATGACGAGCACAAAAATGTCATGTGGCGTTGCATAACGCTGTTATTTTACACTGTGTGTCATGGTGGTGATAATCTCTGCTTGCTTAAGTCAGCAGAGAATAAAATGTACCGAATGCATTAAGTGTTCCAGATATTCTGTATCCCATTAATCCAGTGGGAGCCATATCAGCGAATGCCTCAGCGTGATGCAATTCTCTGGGTAAACCTGCTTTACGGTTCTCGTCTGATTTCCAAATTAGCTCCAGAACAGACACAGCTGCTCACTCCAGATTCTTCCACGAGTGAGTGGAATTGAAATAAACCTGGAATCATTGTTTTCTTGTGGATATGGAACCACCAGGACAAAACCCCCCCTTTGAAGCCGGTGCAGACTGTAAAGCCTGTGACACAGAGCAGCTCGGATGAGAAGGGGGGTAAAACACAGCTGAAGAAACACAAAGCTCACAATCTGGCACTCTCACAGGTATCTGACAAAACAAAACTGTTTACACAGCTGAAGTAGCTGGATAATCCCAAAACGCTTAAAAAAAAAGAAAGAAAAGGAGGAACTACAAAACAAGAGGGCCGCTTCATTCCAGCGACACCTCGGCGATTGCAAACAAAAAGAAAATGAGGAACAATGGATAGGCGAGAGAGGGAACCAACCATCTCCGAGAAGCTCTCACCGCCTCATAAACTCAAACTCAAGGTCCGAGAGCATGTCGGCCTGTCAGCGCGGTGAAACGTAGCTCAGCTGCTCATCAGCACACAGCGGCAGCTCCACTGACAAACAACTGCAAGAGTCAAAAGCAGGCAGTTGTTTTTTGTTTTTTTTTTAGCTGTCTGGCCTCGACACGGTTCGAAATACTGACAATTATGTAGGAAAGGGCCAAACAGCTTTGGCTCGGGTCGGTTTTCTGTTTAATTTGGTGCTCGGATGCAACAGAACTGAGTGTAATTTTACTGACAAATGTAACCTGATGCTGTGGTTGAACACCATCCATCTATGTGGTTATCTATTTTGAGGGGGGGGGGTTGCTCTCTTCTTCTTCCAGCTCCAAGGTGTTCCAGTTTGCAGGTAATGTATGAGCATCCAGATTCTGTGCCTGCAACAAAGAGAGAAGCCTCGTCCTCCCATTGATTAAACCCCAGGAACCCTCAGCATGCGCCCCTACAGCCAAGATGCACGAGCAGCCGCCATAAATTTCTCAATTTAATCTGGGTGACTGATCAGGAAAATTCATTGATTTCATCCATTAATCATCTCAGGAGAGTCTGTACAGTATCGAGCGGTGTGTCTGTGCGGTTAGGAAGGCTGACTGAGGAGGCAATCATTGCAGAGGGTGGAGGGGGGACGGACGGGGTCTTTGTGGAGAGTGCAGCAGCATGGATTTCTGTTGGGGGGCATAATAACCATTATTTACCCCCCCTCAACACAATGCCAGCCAATACTGCCTCAAAATGGCCGAGGTTTTTCTTTTTCTTTTTTTTTTCTCGTCGCAAATGCAGGAGAGGGAAAAAAAAACAACTGATAAGTAGTTTGCACACAACAGTGCCAGGAGGAGACGTCTTGTTAAAATGTTTTGTCATGGTTGTGAGCAGGAACACTTGTGTTTACCCTCTGACGGGGGGGTTGTGGGTTGGTTGGTGTTTGCTCTGGGGGGCAAAAAAAAAAATGGGTGCATTGTTATCCGATGACACACATGTCTGACACTGCAGGCATCGGGGACAATAAGTGGTGAGCCAGCAGGAAAATAGGACATCAGGCAGGTACGAGGCGTGCACGTGTGTGAGTGGGTGTGCTACATTTTGGAACCATTTGGCTCCAACGAATGAACCGCAGAGTGGATTTAGATGTTCTACAGACCAACATAAGACACCGTAAGAATCCCCCTGAGCAGGAACCGTACCAGGGGGGTCCATCCTGTTGACACAGGAACCGCTACAGATTGAAACACCTACAAGGATTTCCTCCTCCTGTGCTACAATAAATGATGTGGAGCGGGCTGCATACTGTTTGTGATCCATTGCAGAGGTCCTGTGTGTCCCCAAAGGCCTGACTAAGCGCCAGTTGTCTTTGATTTGATCTCTGCAGCAAAAACAAAAACCCTGCTATAATTCTCCTTCCAGGACGCTCAGGCTCCACATTGTTCAACTCACCAACAAACTGCAATCAGTGCCGTGCAAGGCGGTGCAGACTGACCTGGAAGCCCTTGATTAATAGTTAACCAGATCTAATATGCAGGAGCGCAGAGAAAACTGTACAGAAGGCAACAATCCCAGATATGTTTTCATTTTTAACCAGCACTTGAGGGGGTCTTGGCTGACAGAAGTGCTAAAGATTAATCAATATATTTCACCTCCAGTAGTGGATTCGTTGGCAGGATCAGCCACGAGAGCCTCATGTGAGCAGAGGACAGAATAATGGGGCCGAAAAAGATTTGCTTCTGCCTGGAAAAAAAAAAACCCTCTCTGGATTCGAGCAACCTGGCGCACAATAAATCAGGAGAAAATAAAATGCACATACCTCAATGTAGCCGGCCAGCGCAGGAACCACAATGCCCAAAATGAGGACAGATATCGCTGGGACTGAACCCATCTTCCAGGGAGCTCCGGTTATGCTACTGTAAATAACTTATATCCTGTGAGCTATATTTGTAAGGTGACCTCCGGGAGAACGAAGAGCAAAACAAGTCCTTGGGGGATCTTCGGATCGGATCTGTCCGAGGCAGAGCGCGTCCTGCTCCGCTTGTTTGGTTACCCGAGCTCGACAGAAAATGTTGGAGGGGACTGAGAGTGTCGGTCTCTCCTCTGGAAATGTGGATTGTGTGTCTGTGGCGCGGCTGCTCTGCCTCTGCTGCCTCCTCCCTCCTCTGGTTGGTCTGATCCACGGCAGCGCGCAGCGGAGCGCACTGCGCCTCCAGGCGGCCTGCTGCGTCCTCCAACCAGCGAGCAGCCAAAAACACCACCTGACGGGCAACTCGGAGGCACTTATTCGAGTGTTTTCGTTATTTATTCGCTATGTTTCACAGGACAGCTCTGGAATGTGTGGCCTACTAGATTCATTTGTAGTAAACTGGATATTTTGCAGGTCAAGATGTAAAAAGTTTACAAAATCTGATGTATGTTGAATAAACTTCACAACAAACTCCACACAACAGGAGACAAAATGCAAACATCACAAGCACAAAACCTGAATAAATTATAAAATAGCTTTTTAGTAAAAGAGAATCTGCGTAATAATATACTAACTAATGCACATTTGACTGGATTTTGATGATAAACTTAAAATTAGGCCCTAAATTGTTCACACTTAAGCCAAATTTAGACTTGTCGTTCATTTTTATTCGTACTCCACTGTGTTTATTTGTAGGCTGGGTATTTTGCAGTTTGCGATTTTCCATTAAAACATAAAAAGCTTGGAAAATATGATGCATGCAAATTTAAACCCCTCAACAAAGCAGACAAAATACAAACATTACACCCACAAAACATGAATAAATTAGACAGCAGCATTTTAGTAGTAGGAAATGTGCATAGCAACATACTCAGTAATACACATTTGCATGGATTTTGATGAGAACACTTAAAATTAGACCTTAAATTATTCATATCCATGCCAAACTCTGATTTAAAGGTCATTTTCATTTGACCAAAACGCTCATTCTGGCTGGAAATTGCATAAAGAAGCAACTAAAGACGTTGTGTTAGAGACGTTAATGTTAAATTTGAACTAATTCCTGAATCCCGTCTACAATTTGTGGAGGGAACTGAAGACCAGAGTGATGCCAAGGAAGCCTGAAAGGCCTCAAAGGTCAAAATCCCAGTGGAGAAAGCTTGTTAACGATTGTAGGAACTGTTTAATTGCTGTGAAGGCACATAAATGTTTTGCCACAGAGAAAAGGTGCACTGTAAAACATCATAACTCAATTTAGTCGAATCAACTCATCTTTTGTAGTTTACTTAATGTAAATATGAGTTTTGCAGCTTTCTTGTTAGCTGAACTGAAAATGTGTATTTTTATTTATTTATTTTTACATTTCCAGACCACTCTCGAACCTACGGAACCCTGGAAGGGACATGGAGAAAGAAAAAAAACAGGGAGAGGGGGGAAGAAATAGAGGTATCTTTTGCAAGATCTCGCAAAACGTTCTCGGAATCTTATAAAAATTCTCGCAAAATCAATCTTATTGGATGTTTTGTAAAAACTGTGCCTCTTGCTAAGCACTGCTTGAATGTCTTTATATTTTGGGGCGATTTTTATAAAAACTCAACAAAACTCTTGTACAGGTGGGTGTCCTCCACTGTCGTTTCTCCATACTGCCAAAAAGACCCAGAAGTATATATACCTTCTATAGATTTGGGGGTTGGCATCCAGCGTACAGGTGCATTACCGCCACCCACTGGACTGGAGCTACCTACAGTTTTGCAAGATCTCGCATAAGTCATTACGAGATCCCAAGAAAGTTTTGTGAGATCTTGCAAAAGACACTTCTGTTTTTTTTTTCTTCTCCCTGTTTTTTTAAATTTTCTTTCTCCACGTCCCTTCCGGGGCTTCGTAGGAACCTAAAGACATGAGCTCCTCAAATTTGAGGCATTTTTGACTTAAAATAACTAATTGCATGAATGAAGTTCACTCAACGGATTCATAACTTCCCAGAACACATTGTTAGAGAACTAAAAATGCCCAGAGATGCTTGGGGTTTTTTTTGTATTTTGACAAAACAGACGCGGTTGAAACTTGCTGTTTGTCTTTCATACATGTTAAGTGAAGTTATGGATGTTTCTTTTCACAATAGCCAAAAACTATTCCAAGCACGACAAAGCGTAAAACTGAATTCAGTCTCTACAGTTGTTGACAGTTTATTTCATGTTGACTTGAAACAGCCTCACAATCTTTGTATTGACTCAAAACTCAAAACTTAAAAGATGACTTTAATGCTAACTGAAAGGAAAGTTATTCTGTCTGTAACCACTGTCCAGTTGAATCAAGTTAATATATTTATTCAACCTGTTTTCTCAAGTTCAGTTAACTTATATCTGGTTTTATATATTTGAACTAATTATTCAACCAAAATGTGCTTTTAACTCACATTTTCCGCATTTTTATATGAGCTTAAAATGATTTTTAGTACATAAATAATTTTCAATAGGGTATTTTTAGTAAAAATGTTTTGAAAAGCACATAAAAATAAGTTTAAAAAAGTTAAAATTTATCATTAATATAATGTCTTGCCATTTTAAGTTACTTGTTTGTGTCATTTCCTGCAAAACTTCTCAGAAAATTCCCTCTGACACAACAGCTGGCTTGTGTTGAGGCTTAACTGTGACACTTTTCTCAACACGCTGACACGGTTAAATGTGTAATATTTTATATTGAGGGTGAAAATCATATACTTAGGTAATGCCTAACTGATAGTTTAATGCATGACTTAATCCCGGATGCATCATGAACTCCTGCTGCTCACCTTCGACCGAATAGATCAGCAGTGAAAGAATATTAACTCACACTTACTTCATACATGAGCTCATATGCAGCAAAAAAAAAAAAAAGCTGGACTGCAGTTATGTAACGGCTTATTTATGTGACTGTGTTTATCTATATTATATAAATGACAGCCAGTAAGTGTAAGTGGAATCCTGATCAATCATAGAAAAAAGGTTCTATTTGACACATGGGGACTTCATTTCCTGCATTCTAGCAAATGTTATCGCACCAATATTCAACTTTCCTTCATTCATTTATGGCGGAAATGTATTTATTTATATAAAGGAAGCATAAAATTGGGCTACCAGGTGAGAATTTAAACTATAACAGAGCATGACCTCTTTGTTCTACTGCAAAGTTACGCCAAAGACATCAGCTCACGTATGAAGTAACCGTTAACTATCGTTATTTAACTGATAATGTATTAGGTGTGAATTCATCACAACAGCTGACAGCGACTCGCTCGCCCATTCATGTTGAGCAACAGGACGTTGTGATGCGTCCGGGCAATAATTCATGGAACAAACCGCCATGAGTCATGCATTAGTTAAGCATTACTCATGATTTGTTCCCTTATTGGACGTGTTTATTCTGAATACAGGCACACAGGGATGCTTTTGTAAATCCAGCACGGTGGTGAAAGAAGCATTTAGATCCTTTAATTAGCTGAACATGTCCCAACAACATGGAAATATACTCCACTTCAAGTACAAGTTCTGTGAGTAAAGTGGAAAAGTACTATCAAAAAACAGAGTACAGTCAGATTTCAATACTTTATTATTGCTCCTGATGCATTTAGATTTGAATAAAGTCTACTTTTATAGCTGGTATTGCTAGTTTGTAGGTTTTTAACACATCTCTGATCATCCTATTGAATGATTTGTGTATTTTGTATGAACAACAAGCTGAAGAGAACATTTATCTGATATATGAAATAAAGTGTTGGAGCAAAAACTACAATATTACCCTGAAATGTATATATTATGGCTAAAATCTTATTTGAGTACACAGAAAGTGGCAACTTAAATGTGTATTCCAATACAAGTACAAGTTGCATCCAAGTATCACAATGTTAAAGTAACTTCATTACTTCACTTTGGGATTACCTCAACACCAAACATGCAAGTGAAGACAAAAGAAAAGAAATTCCAACTTTAACTTAAGTGTATTCCACAACAATGCCGTTTTGTATTTTAAAGTAGATTTTAAAATCCTGCTAATAATCCCCATTTTTACAAAATCTATGAGTAATCTGATTACTTTCTGATCTTTTCACACTGCACAGTTCCTTTTTTTAAAAATCCTACTCAACGTAATGCCTTCACACATATTCTAGAAGCCTCCCATCACCACCGATGAAGCATGAATGCCAGGATTGTGTTTTTTTTGCATATTTTATATATTTATATACACTGCTACTTGTACTTCACTAAAAGCACCTGAATACTTCTTCCAGTGCCGCCGTGCTGCTCCTCGACATACTGAGCCTTCAATTGCTGGCGCACAGACAGGCTCATTATATTCCAATTAGTTTTATTGGTATATAACAGGCTTAAAGCTGTGAATCCTCTGCGCTTATTACGACTTTAAGTGTGAACATATAATGAGAGATCCTGCGTTCGTGACTTTTCCGCGGGATTAACTCCTGACTTTGTGTCACCGTGATTCATTTCAGGTTGCGTTTGAAATGCTTCAAGTCAGAGATTACGCCCGTCTTGTGCAACAGTTGACTCAAGCAGCACAATATTGGAATATAGAGGAAGACGGGTGGTGGAAGAAGCATTCAGATTCTCTTTTTTTAGATCAGATTAAATTAAACTTTATTGTCATGGAGTGTTATGAAGACACTAAATATATAAGTAGACAACAATATAAACATATATAAATGTACTTGTGGTTTGTGAGAAAAAGCAGCAATATTATGATATAAAGGAAACTCAAATTAAAAGAAAAAGTCGGTATATCACTCTAGATTTTGATATTTCTGACTGGGAGCAAAAGAAATAAAGATGAACGTTTCTTAGTTAGTTAACAAGAACATATTCAGAATATATAAAACCCATTTCAAAACAAATCTATGTAGATCCGTCCTGTCTTATTTCAACTACATAAATATATCCTCGATGGATGTTGGACATCTCCAAAGGATGTGACGGACAAAAAAAAAAAAAGAAATCAATTTTCGTCGTTAAATTGCTCCTATAAATGAGGTAATTATCCACACACGCAAACATCATTAGCTTTTTATGATTAGATTTTTTTTTATTCTTAGAGTATCATTCTTATTACTCTCTGATGGCTTATTGAAAAAAGCATCATGTAAATTTGATTTT